GTGTTTTAAATGTATCATGTGCACGTGCTGTCCACAGAGGTCAGAAGAGGGCATCAGAGCCACTGGAACTGCAGTTAGAGATGGTTGTCAGCCACCTTACGGGTGCTGGGAACCAAACCCAGGTCTGCCAAGAGTAGCCAGTGTTCTTAACTGCTGAGTCATTTCTCCAACCCCCAATCCATGTATTTTCTATTCTAAACTATCTCCATTTGTTAATCAGTATATGATAGTCCTCTGTCCCGGCACCAACAGGAAAGCCATTTCCTAAATTTGGTATTTTCATTCTTAAACATTTTCTTACTGGATAATTTTAAATACATGTATTCTAAAATAATAACAGCATTATTTTCATGTTTAAAAACTTAAATAAGCCAGGTGTGGTGGCGCACGCCTTTAGTCTCAGCACTCAGGAGGCAGAGGCAGATGGAGCTCTGTGAATTCAAGGCCAGCCTGGTCTACATAGTGAGTTCTAGGACAGCTGGGGCTACAGGGAGACCCTGTCTCAAAAAGACCAAAAAACAACAACAAAACACTTAAATAAGTGCTACCATAAATATTATGTCTCTTCTAACTTGCTTTACTTATAAATGCCTTTAAATTTGTATTCCACTACACCATGTAGATTTCGTCGCACAGGCCTACAACCCCAGCTACTTGGAAGGCCAAAGCAGAATTATAGGTTCAAGGCATGCTTGGGTTACAGAGTAAGTTCAAGGCTAGCCTAGAAGACTTGGTAAGAGCCTGTCTCAAAATAAAATAATGATTTTAAAAAGTACATCATAATTTTATTATCTATACTTTTTTTTAAAAAACTGTTTACGAGTATATTGCCTGCATATGTGAAGTGCACCCATGTCATGCAATGCTGTGGAGGTCAGAAGAGGGCTTCGGATTCCCCTGGAGCTGGAGTTAAGGATGGCCCGTAGCTGCCATGTGGGTGCTGGGAATTGAACCCGGGTCCTTTGCAAGAGCAGTTAGTGCTCTTAACTGCTGAGCCATCTCTCCAGATATAAACTGTCACTCATTACAGTTTGAATTGGCTTTTTTTTTTTTTTAAGTCACAGTAAGGCTTTCTCGATGAGGAAAGCACTGCACTGACTTATTCTGGCTTATGGGTCTCATTTTCTCTTGGTCTTACACTTTGGGTAGAAGCACTGTCCTATCAAGAATAAAAGATCAAGCCTTTTGCAGGGCATATACTTGGAAGGGGAATTACTGAGTTGTAGCATAAACACTATTAGTTATACAAACTCAATCATTAGGTACTGAGGGTTCCTTTTTACTGAATTTTCTTTAAAAAATTTTATTACATTTATTTATTTATTTCCTTGTTTATTTTTGGGGAGAAAGCATGTGTGCTACAGTACTCATGTACAGGCCAGAGGACAACGTGTGGGAGTCAGTTATCTTGTTCCACCATGTAGGTCCCGGGGATTAAACTCAGGTTGTCAGGCTTGGTGGCAATTGCCTTTACTTGCTGAGCCACTGCCCTGGCCTAAATTTTCTCTTTTGTCTTTTTCTTACAGATTTTCAAGAAGTTATTATTCCGGTATTTCAGTTACAGCATACATATTTTGTGTGTGGGTGGGGGAGTTCTGAAACAAGGTCTTGCTATATGGTCCAGGCTGGTCACAAACTCAAGATATTTCTACTCATCTACTTGAGTACTGAGATTAGAGGTGGACACCATCATGCCTGGCCCTATATGTGCTATGTGATAAACCTTATTTCTACAAAATCATAAATTCAAAGTAACAAGGCTTAATGGTAAAAATCAGATTAATGGCAGACTACTCAACACAATGTGTTACCAGAACAAAGATATATTCATTTCTATAAATACTTTACTTGGGGTTGGAGAGATGGCTCGGTGTTTAAGAGCACCGACTGCTCTTGCAGAGGAGCAGGGTCCAATTCCCAGCACCTAACTCCAGTTCCAGGGGATCCTACAACCCTTCTGGCCTCTGTGGGAATTGCACACATGAGTACAGTTACATACATGCAAGTAAAACATTCACACACATAAAATTACATAACAGAACTGGGATGTAAGCTCTTCCAAAGCATAAGCCTAACAGAATTAAGAGCAAAAACATAGATGTTCTTCACTACTGCATTATTCCATGGCTTACGTTAGCATGTGTGCTCTCATCTGCAGCTGTGACAGAATGCTAGGAAATCTAATGTGTAAACTAGAATGACTGCATCATTATGTCACTCTTGTATTTACCGATAGCAAGGAATCGAATCACCTGCATTACAGAAAATGCCTGAGGAGTTTTGTTTCAAACACAAATTGCTGTCAGGTGTTTAACAGTCACTTCCAGTAAAAGGTCTATAGTTTATTACTTTTTCAAGTGCAACTAAGTTTAAATTTTAGTAGTCGTTTTATTGGTCTTCAAAGTTCATCTTCTTTTTGAGAGGAGAAGCATTTATGTTAGACAAAAAAATATAATTCCTTACCAAGAGGTCAAAAACAAGTCTTTCCATCCCCCCCCCACTTTAGATTTATTTTTTCAATTAGAGTTTGAATTTCACTGAGACAACCTGGAAATGATTTTTATTTCAAACTTGGAAGAGGGATTCAACATCATGTTCTAGTTTGTTTCTCCACTGCTGTGACAAAATACTCTGATCACTACCAACTTGGGGAGGAAAGCGTTTATTCAGCTTATAGCTCCCAGGTCACAGTTCATCAGGGAGCCCATGGTAAGAACTCAGGGCAAGAACCTGGAGGCAGGAGCTGGAGCACAAGCCATGGAGGAACACTGTTTACTGGCTTGCTCCCCTGGCCCTTGATCAGCCTGCTTTTTTATGCAACACAGGACCACCTGCCCAGGGGTGGCACCACCCACAGTGGACTAGGCCCACCCACATCACTCATCAATCAAGAAGATGCCCTACAGACATGGCCACAGGCCAGTCCTATGGAGGCAATTCCCCAACTGAGGCTCCCTCAACCCAGGTGTGTCCTTCACAACTATTACTACTATTATCCTCACCTTAAAAATTCAAAAACAAGGCATTAAAACCTGCCCAAGATGACAGCGAGTTAACCAGAGTTGGGGCTGAGTCCTAACCCTGCTATGGCCTCTCCAGGCAGGCAGCATGTCTGAGGACGCAACTCTGCCCTTACTTGTCTTTCATAACTCCTTTCATTTCTGAATCTCTTTACAGGACATGTGACCCAACATGATATTCTTTTTTTAAAAGTATTTTTATTTATATGAGTGTATTGCCTGCATGTACGTAAGCGTAGCCATGTCATGCGATGCCCTCGGAGGTTAGAAGAGGGCATCGAATTCCCCTGAAACTGGAGTTAAGGATAGCTGTTAGTTGCCATATTGGTGCTGGTAATCAAACCCAGGTCCTCTGCAAGAGCAGTCAATGCCCTTAACCACTGAGCCATCTCTCCAGTCCCCAATGTGACATTTTTCATATTCTTCATGACAATCTTCACTATGCTTTCCCCCTTCCTACTCGGTTCATATATATATATTTAGAATCAACATGTCTGTTGTGATTTGATTGGGATGGCATTAACTACAGATTAATTTGGGTGTAAATGGTGTTTTTACAATACTGATGTTCCTATATACACAGTATGGTATATATGAATGTTAATCTTAGATACCTTATGTTTCACCTTTAACTTCAGTGATTTTAAATTTCAGTATTTTTCTCTTGTCTGCTTTGTTTACTCAGTTACTACTCGAGGCTTTATTAATACTCTCTCTACTGTGGCATGACCACCCTCCCCATTACTTTACATACATGTCAAGATTTTTAAAATCCATTGCTTTGTTATAATTCTTTCCCAAATTCCATTATGATCTGTTCTTTGATCCAAAGTAGTACATTTAAGAATGAGTTATGTTTTTGTCACTGGTATCTGATAATGATCAGAGTTCTGTATCATACCAGTTGCACAGAGTTTGCTGAGACATACTTTATGAATTAAAACATGGCCAATTTCTATAATATTCTTTCTATACTTGAAAGGAAAATGTATGTAAAGTAATGGATACATATATCAAAACATCATGTTGCATAGCATATATGTGATATAATATATATATATATATATATATATACATATACACTTATTAGATCACACCACAGGACTGGAGGTGTAGCTCAGTGGTAGAGAGTTGGATTAACAGGTGCAAAGCCCTGAGCTTGATCTCCAACACTGAAAAAATTCAACAACAACAACAACAAAAATCACATACCTTAAAAATTAGAAGCCAAGCATGGTGGCAAATACTTGAAATTCCATGTACTTGGGAGGCTAAGGAAGGACATGGTTTGAAGCCAGCCTGAGCTACATGGAGATTTTGAAGCCAGCCTGGGTTATATGGGTTAGACCCTATTTATAAGAACAAACCAACCCAAAATTTGGTAAGTTGTAATCGCTTGATTTTTTCTTTTTGATCTCCACTCAGTTTTTGTGTGTGAGCCTGAATCCACAAGAGTTGTGTTTAAATTTTCCATTACAATGATAGTTTTATCAGTTTCCTCTAACTTTATATTTTGAAACAGAGAACATTGTATAGTAACTCTATTCCAACTAATGCTTCCTGCTGTAGCTGACTTTTTGTATCATGTTCACACTTAGTAATTGCCTGCATATGGTTCTCAATCTTTTTAATTCCCTGCCTGTATCCTTATGGCCTGTTGCTTATTAACATCGTATTTCCAACATTTCATTGATTTTGAACTAGTCAGCTTGTTCTTATAGAGTTATTATAATTACAGGCATGTTTGGATTTATTTCTGTCTCTACTTTGCATTATTTACTTCACTTATTGCTATCTCCTCCTCCCCTTACCTACCTGATTCTTTTCATTGCTTTGGATGCTACAATTTTCTTCTTGTGGCTAACTTAATTTGGGGGGGGGTGAGGGGGGGTGGACAGGGTCTCCCTAGTCCCAGCCCACCTGGAAGTCACTATGTGAACGAGGCTGACCTCAATCTCATAGAGATCCACCTGCCTCTGCCTCCCGAGGGCTGGGATTAAATAATTGTTATTTAAACTAAAATTTTCCTGAGTTAATATGAAAACAAGAAGAACATATAAGAAACCAGATGGGCTTTGGAATCAAGAGAATTCTCAATCTGCTAATTTCAGCTTTGCCATTTATTAGCAATGAAACCTTGGAGAAAGGTCCTACTACCTTATTTTCTTGAGTGCAAAATGAGGTTGTTACAAGGCTTACAAGACTATTTACAAAGCTACAGACAATATCTGAATAATAGCGAGTGCTTAAAAAATGGTAGCCTTTTGGATACAACAAATGTAGGCTCAAGCTTTATCTGAGCAGGAAAAAAAAAAAAAGGAGGGGGTATTATTGAGACCACTGGCCAACTGCAGGAGTTTGAATGAAGAAGAAACCTTTTAGCCCTAACTATAATGCTTGAAACTGAGAGAATAACCATTTTGTTTTAATATTCCCTCAATTGAAATAAAAAACAAACTTACCCTTTATGATATATACATAGGCAAGGCAGCCTTGCGATAGTGTCTCCCTGCTGCAGTTCCTCGAGACATATTGCACATTCCCCAGCATCTTTACTCAGCACATCCTCTGTGAAGAAAAATGATTCAGTACAATAAAACTGGCGGGCAAACTGAAAAAACACAAGACTTACTGTATATGCCAGTTTATTAAGAGCAGCGCTAGCAAACCTGCACACTTTTTATCACAACTACACAAAGCCAAAATGGTACTGAAATGCTACTCACAATGAATGAAGTATTCAGCCTGTATTTGAGACAGGCTCTGCATTTTCATTTTATTAAGGCATAAGAAAGAGTAATTGCAGTATTTTTCAACTTACAAAAGAGTTTTCTTTAAAAATCCGTAAGTCAGTTATTCGTAATTTCTAATTCCTGTTCTTTCTCCCATGTCCAAGATAGTCTCAAAAAGTTGAGCATGTAATACAGTTGAAAAGACATGAAAAATGAAGCAATATTATGTTTTAATTTTAAAAGACAAAAAAGAAATTGCCTTGAACAAAAAACTGCTAGAAAGCGGCTTAACTCAAACTATAAAAGAACACCATGGGCTGGAGAGATGGCTCAGCAGTTAAGAACACTGACTGCTCTTGCAGAAGACCCGGATTCTAATCCCAGCACCCACATGGCAGCTAACAGTTGTCTGTAACTCCAGTTCCAGGGGATCCAACAGCCTCTTCTGTCTTCCACGGGCATTGCACAACATGGGTGCACTTACCTACATGCAGGCAATACACACATAAATAAAATAAAATAAATAAATAAAATAAAAAAGAACATCATAACCTTTCCCCATTGACAAGGCCCAGACAACTCAAGACATAAATTAGAGTGGCTTCCAGAGGACCCTGTAGGTATTTTAGAAACTTCATGGCGTGTTTAATATACTCCAAGGGCAAACACCTTATTATAAAAGCAAATATTCCTTAAAACAAAAATTTTCTCCACTTTAAATAGTGAAATTGTTTTAGTTTCATATTTTAATGCTTACAAAGATGTTGCCTGAAGTACACTCCCAGCTACATATCCTCTGTGCCTCTTTAAAAATGCATAATGACTAAGACATGCCATTACTATAGTACTATAGAATATGAATAAAATATTCTCTAGAGAACAGTGTGGCTCTCCTTAATGACTCATTTTGAGACAGCAGATTAAGGGAAAACACAAGACTACTTGGCTCACAGAAGGGAAGACACCAGCCGGGCCTGGTAATGGACAATGTATGTTGAATAAAAAAAAAAGAACCCAGCAAGAGACTCATACTCAGTGACTCTAGGGAACATTGGGCATGTTTTAGCTAACTACTGAGCACTCACAAATTAATGTATTACACCAGAAACTGAAGTACGAAGAGAATTCAGGGTAAGCGCAAAATGCTATTGTGTTCCTCACTGTTTTTCTGTGATATGAAGGAAAAGCTTCATAGAGGCCTAGAATTCCAAAAATACAGTATAAACATCAATCTTTAAAACTACAATATTAACATAAAAATTATGTGAATGTAAGTACTACAATAAACTTCAAAAACTGAAAGCATGACTTTTTATGCAACCCATACGTGATTACAAAGATGCATCACTGGTTTTTATATACCACTAAGTAAGAAAAACCCCTGCCTCCATTAAATTATGACATATGGGGCTGGAGAGATGGCTCAGTGGTTAAGAACACTGACTGTTCTTGCAGAAGACCAGGTTCAAATCCTAGCACTCACATGGTAGCTAAAAACTGTCCGTAACTCCGGTTCCAGGGGATCTGATAGCTTCTCCTGTCCTCCGCGGGCACTACACAACACTGGTGCACTTACCTACATGCAGGCATAATACTCATATACATAAAAATAAAATATTTAAAAAATAAATAAATTATGACATATGACAGGACATACCTGTAATCACAACACACTGCAAGTCTGAAGCCAGTCTGGGTCACACAGAAAGACCTTGTCTCAAAATAAACAATCAAAAGCACACAAAACTGTGACATTGACTTAAGATGTACAAGACTCTCTTCTAACAGATTACAATGTGTTCAGATTTAAGTATAAAAACTCCCAAATCTTATTCATCACAAATTAAGAAATGTAAAGAAAATATTACTAGCATGTTGCCATAAGTTCACTGAACAGAATCCCAACAGGAAATAGAAATATATAGAATTTAACAGATTCTGAATACATTGTTGAAATAAAATATAACCGTCTTCTAACACTTCTATAACCAAGCCTCATTTCTTTATTACAATAGGTTTTCAAAAAACTTTTCCCTCAGCTAGGTGTAACAGCGCATACCTTTAATCACAACACTCAGGAGACAGAGGCAGGCCAATCTCTGCAAGATCTGAGGCCAGCCTCATCTACATAGTGAGTTTCAGGCCAGCTGGGATACAGGGAGATCCTGTCTTAAAAAAGTCTTTGCTATGAGAATATTTTAACTGAAATTAAAATACTTAAAAAATATTTAATTAAATGCAAGGGCTAGAGAAATGGCTCAGTGGTTAAAAGCATGGGCTGCTCTTGCAGACCACCCGAGTTTGAGTCTCAACATTCACATGGCAACTAACAATCATCCATAACTCCAGTTGCAGGAGATCTGACGTCCCCTTCTGATCTCTGCAAGCATTGCATGACACGAGTGCACTTACATACATGCAGGCAATACACTCAAACACTTAATATTTTATTAAATGTAGTATTTCTGAATTTTATCCTATCTGTAAGAAAATTTGTATTATAAAAGCAAATCCAATTATAAAACTAGCAAAATAGGGCTGGAGAGATGGCTCAGCAGTTAAGAGCACTGACTGCTCTTGCAGAGGACCCAGGTTCGACTCCCAGCACCCACATGGCAGCTACGAACCATCCTTAACTTCAAGTCCAGGGGAATCCGACATCCTCTTCTGACTTCCGTCACACTGCACGACATGGGAGCACTCACATATATGCAAGCAATACACTCATACACATGCAATAATAAATAAAAAACATATTAAAATAAAATTAGCAAAATTAACAGTTTTTTGGTATTTTTGTGACAAGGTCTCTTTGTAGCCATCCCTGGCCTCGATCTCAGAGGTCCACCTGCCTCTGCCTCTGCCTCCTGAGTGCTGGATTTAAGGTGTGTGTCACAATGCCCAGTTTAGCAAAGACTAGTAATGGGATTAAGGGCATGTGCCACCAGACCTTGTCCCAAAATTGGAAAAATTACATTTTAAGACTATTATTATGTAAAGCTGCTTTAAAACTGATGGGGGCAGTGTAGCAGGGGAGCAAGGATTAACCCTCAGATGCTTTGGAGGCACTAAGAAAACTATTTTTTAGTTTAATTCAGAATGTTGCTGCATTAAAGTCAATTATTTCAATCACCAGCTCCAATAATAAAAAATGGTAACTGCATTTTCAGTATTAAGACAAGCACACCTATATACATAAATATCCCAAATATAGCAATTTAAAGAACAGCTCAATCTCTTCTGAAAACAGTTTCCGGTCAAATTCTATCTGCTAAGAAAATTAAAAGCTAATGTTAACATACTCTAACTGCTGTTTATGCAAATGTATTTTGATAAGCTGCTGTTAGAAAAGGGTTTATTATTAAAACCTTATGATCACTGTCTCAAATAGAAAATGTTTAAATTTTTCAAAATTTAAAATCCTTTTTTCCACAATAAAATCTGTCCTATTTGAAAATACTTTCAGCATATAAATTCATTGTTGGTGGGGGCTGGAGAGATGGCTCAGTGGTTAAGAGCACTGGCTGCTCTTATAGGGGACCCAGGTTCTAGTCCCAGCATCCACATGGCAGCTAACAACTGTCCGGAGCTCCATTTCCAGGGAGACTTCAACACCCTTCTGATCTCCGTGGGTGCACTTTATATACATGCAGACAATATACTCATACACATAAAATAAAGCTTTTTTTTTTTTTAATTCACTGTTGGGGCTAGAGAGATGGCTCAGTGGTTAAAAGCACTAGTTGCTCTCCTGAAGGACTAGGGTTTGGTTCCCAGCACCCACAATGGTGGCTAACTGTCTTTAACTCCAATTCCAGGGGGATCAGATGCCCTCTTCTGGCCTCCTCTGGCATTGCACAATATGGGTATACTTAAATGCAAGGTGAAACATTCATACACAGAAAATAAAAATAAATTTAAAAACTTTAAAACTTTGCTATGGCAACGTGATTAAACTGGGCCTACCTAAGGGTTTCCCAGAGCACTCTTACAAGGTCCCTTCATTCACAGAGTTTAATGATTTTGCCTTCACAATGCAAAGTAGGTCTTACATATGTGTAGAAGAGGAAGAAGTTATTAGTGATGTGATGCAGTTATAGTTAGAAATAAGGCCTGAAAAATATCACTAAATCACAGATAACTGGAGCATATGGGTAGGCAGAGAAGGTTAACTATTTTCAGATAACCAATTAAAAACATTCATGATACTACACACCAGGCACCTACTTTAGAAGGGGAACAGCTTAGGGCAGATGACCAAGAGCCAAAATTTACATCAGAGACGAGAACATTAACAGCTTTAATGATTGCAATAGGCTGGTCTGGCCCTCCACAGGCACTGATCAATGAGCACGTGAGACTGCATACAGGAAGCTGAAATTGAGCTGCTTTTCTGAAGTGTTGGTTCATCTGCTATGTGCTTAAGCACCTGGAGCAGTAAATGTGAAATGGGTGTACTGCACATCAGTCTGCTCCCTTGCTCCTTGTGATCTACACATTAATTTAGACTTACATATAAAGGAGAAGGAAAGCTAAAACAATCAAGACTTCTAACAAGAGGTGGTCACCAGAATCACTGTGGGGGTGCATTCTACCTCAGCGTAGAAAAAAGATAACACGCACCCAACTCCTGTTTGAGAAAGGAGATTGTTACTGAATGGGGACAAGGGAAAAAAGGAAGCATGTGAAAGCAGGAAGAGCATGAGACTGAAAGTTGAGCTGGGCATGGCAGCAGTCCTCTAACTCAACCACTTAGGAGGTAGGAGGATAGTATTCATCGGAGCCTAAGTTACATAGTGAGAAACTGTCTCAAAAGAAAATATATCCTACAAAAAT